GCTTACTCCTGGCTCACACTCAGGGATCACTCCTGTCAGGAATCAGGGGATCATATGTGGTGTCAGGGAAGGAACCTGGATTGAAAGTGTGCATGGCAAGAGCCCTACCTATTGTACTATCTCTCTAGTCCCAAAACTTTTTCTTTTAAAGACACGTTAAACTGAAATACTACAACCTTGAAGGTTTCAAAGGACATTAATTAATTCTATTAGAAAACAGTACACAAACCATTCATAAAAATGTTTTCAGACCATCATCTAAAATACAAGACTTTATTTTCATGTTAATTTAAGAATGCAATTTATTAAAGAATAAGTAAACAGAATTTACTGGGTCCTGATTCTTTATACTGCAATAAGCTTATGGTCACAAAGAGACATCATGTCACACCCATTATCAGAGAGAATACAGCAAAAATAGACGCCATGTGCAGACTAGCGATGAGTCTTCACGAGATAATGCATCTGCCATTACATTGATCTTGCACTACGCAGACTTCAGAATTGTGAGGAAGAAATGTTTATTGTCTAAGTCTTGTACCAGTGCCAACCTACAGATTAAGAAAACCTGAAAACTGCTTGCATACCGATGCTACAATTTCTGTATTAATTAAACCACATCCAAATGTGAGACACCAGTTGGTGTGCTAGCATCAATGTTACTTTATTTACTTTAGCAGCCTGAACGGACTGATTTTTAAGACATACTGCAGTGGATTATTAGCAATAAAAAAGAATAAAATAATGGTAGAAGCAATATAACATGATTAAATCTTCAAAATGTTTTTAAATGAAAGAGGATAGATGCCAAAGGTCATATATTATGCAATCTTATTTACACGAAATATTTGGTATAGGTAAAAATTCAGAGAGAGAAAGTAGACTGGAGGTTACCAGAGGTTAAAAGAGGAGGAATTAATGGGGCAATGATAGCGGCAATTAAAGAACATTATGAATGTACAGCCACTGAAGGCTTACTTTAAAAAGGTTTATCTTATGACATTTCAAATGTTTTTAGAAAACGCTCATTTTTAAAATTAGTTAACTAAAAATTTGGGGGGCAAACTCAGTAATGCTCTGCAGCTACTCTTGGCTCTCTGGGGATCACTCAGGGGGACATGTGGCACTGGGGCATGCCACATGATAGCATGCTTTGGACACTCTTAGCCTTTTGGGCTACCTCTCTGGCTCTATAGCCCCTGGATTATGATTTGAATTTTCTCCATAATCCCTTCATATCTTGATGATTTCCTCACATATATATATATATATATATAATATGTACACACACACATATATAAATTTCTTGATTATATATATATCTATATAAGGCCCTCCCGTTGATCGTCGATTTGCTCGAGCGGGCCCAGTAACGTCTCCATTGGAGACTTTGTTGTTACTGTGTCTGGCATATCGAACACTCTTGGTAGCTTGCCGGGCTTAAAAAAATAAAATTATTTTTCTCAAGAAGTCTGAAACTTAGGTGACAATGACTCTGCTGTAAAAGACATTGCCTGAGAAATAAAGCTCCCAGAAGAGAGCAACATGCAACACAGAACACCCTGAAGAGATGCCTCCAGGCTGTCTTAACCGGGCAACTCAGAGGGGGACAGGTGAGTTTCCCTTCCCTCCCCACCAGAGCTCTGGCAGCTGAAAACCTCCAGCATTTACATGCTCATGGCCGCTCTCCACAGGCTTGGATGAGCCTCACCCATGAGTGAATCTGCTGTACAATCACATTCTAAATTTTAGAACTCTTGGAGCTCTCATACTCTACACCACTGATATACCAATAGTAGCATACAACATTTGATGGGGTTTAAAATAGAAAGCAACTAATCTCATATATACATATATATGAGATTAGTGTGTGTGTGTATATATATACACTATGTATATATACATGCATATACATACATATATACGTATATATATGTATATAAGCACAGAAGGCTTGATCTTTAACAAACATGTTAGTAATCTCTTAAAGAAGGGCTTAATGGCTCTAGGATGAAATACAACCATCTCCACACACTTTCCTCTAAGGAAACTTTATCAGAACATTTTTAGTGGATTATTCATAACAAGCAATACAAACTTGTTCTGGTTCTGCTTTGGGCGGCACAATTTGGGATTTGGGGTGGAAACATTCAAAATATGGTGGGAGGAAGGTGCAATGGTGATGGGATGTGTTCGAATATTAAATGTAATAAATTATTATGAACAACTATGAATGTCACTGTCCTCCCAATTTGTTCATCGATTTGCTCGAGCAGGCCCAGTAACGTCTCCATTGGAGACTTTGTTGTTACTGTGTTTGGCATATCAAATACGTCACGGGGAGCTTGCCAGGCTCTGCCGTGCGGGCGAGATACTCTCGGTAGCTTGCCGGGCTCTCCGAGAGGGGCGGAGGAATCGAACTCGGGTCGGCCATGCTGGCTGATGAACAAGTTTATAAAAATAAAATTAAATAAAAAAGACATTGACTGCAGTAAAAGAGGTTAAAACACACACACACACACACACACACACAGACACACACACAAGAAAAATCAACAGTTCCTGGTCTGCTATATTTCATTATATAATCATCACTAATTTTTTTGTTTTTGTTTTTTGGGTCACACCCGGCGATGCTCAGGGGTTACTCCTGGCTTATGCACCCAGGAATTGCTCCTGGCGGTGCTCGGGGGACCATATGGGGTGCTGGGAATCAAACTTGTGTCGGTCATGTTGGCTGCGTGCAAGGCAAATGCCCTACCTGCTGTGCTATCGCTCCAGTCCCAATCATCACTCATTTTAAGTCAAAATATTTTTTTCAAAAAAACTCTGAGTACGACCATTATGTGAAACTTAAAAATATTGTGCTAATCTACTTAAAAAAACAAAACAAAATGAGAGTTAACAATCACATGGTGGTGCTGACATGCAGTAAATTATGGTAACCTACAAAACTGTAGATATATGTATATATATATATATATATATATATATATATATATAATAACTCTGTGCTTGGGACTACTCCAGGTGGGCTTGGGGACTATTTGGGATGAGAGGAATCAAAAGGAATCAAACTTGGGTCAGCTGCGTGCAAGGCTAGCGCCCTATCTGCTGTATTATCTTTTCAGTCCCTTATATATCTTATCTATTGTATGTGACATTATCTAGGATTTTCCTAAACACATCCAAACATTTGTTCTATATTCTATTATTAAACAACAGAAAATGTCTTCATTGATTTGTTGGTGATTATTTTACCTCTGTATGAAAGAAAGGCTGGGTCTTTATAGTAAATCTAATGTGTCATATGTTTGTTATTTTCAATCTTATAATTTGGAAATAATCTATCGTCTTTGCTTAGGATGTGTGGGCCGCATAAGGCCTTGAAATCTGGCCTTTGTACAAGACAGGATGAACACCCCATTGGCTGGTCCATATACCTTTACTCAATGGCCCACATATAATGTTATAAATATCCAAACAAACTTGGGAGAGAAAAAGGTTTCCTATCCATGTCTTCGAAGGTAGTCTTCGAGATACTTCAGGCAGTTATCAGGGGTCCCTATTAATACCTTACTTTTCAATTTTTAATTTTGTCCATTTGGATCCTCTAATCCCATTTATTAATATTTGGGTGGGGAAAAAATCATACATGTGAGTTATGAGTTTCCCCTACTGAACAACTTCCCTATTTCTTCTTAAAATGTCTTAGCCAGGAAATGAAACAATATTGCAAAGTTTCTGATCAGCCTTACAGAGTAAAAAAAACAAGGAAAAAAAAAAAAACACCACAAAACAAAATCAGTTTCAGGGTATCTGAACTACTTTTCTTTCACAGCTGTAGTTTAAGCCTGCATCAGCATTTCTAGAAGCTGCATTATACTCCTTAAGATCAAAGTCAATTGAATATCCTGGACTACTTTTTAGCAAGTCAGATTTGGAACATACTTCTTCAACAATACAATTCATTTGCACATTAAACCTAGGGCTACTTAAGATATAAGGAAAATTTACCACAAAAATGGGAAATAAATCTGTATCCTGGTGTAGAAAACTATCCATCTCCTTTCAGATTGCCTAAACTTACTAACTAGTAAATCAATTATTTGTTGCTATTTTCTAAGAAATTGTATTAATGTTCAATGTAACAAGAAAACCAAATAATCATAAATAGTGGTAGACTTAAATAATCACTTAGGATCTTAATCACAGAGAAAAACAAAGAAATAGTAAAGAAACAACAATTATCCCTAGGTACTTCAGAAACTACCATGCCATGAATTTTATTTTCCTTTGAATACTTCCTCAGTAACAAGCAACAGTGCCACGCCCCAGAATGGACGTCAATTTCTCTAGCTTCTAATGCAAGGTTTACAGGATTACAATTCTTAATGTATCTGAATATAACCACTTCACTTCTAATTTAAAAAAACTTGATCTAAATTATATTTATTTCATAAATTTAGTATCTATACTATAATTATTCTAGTAAATGCAAGGAATGTTAATATTCTAAGTTTCAGAAACAAACCTGAAGGTGACATTATTGTATATATTTTTTACTGGTGAAAAGCCAAAGTTAGTTAAATCCCTATGGCTTCTTCAATGCTCAGATTTATTAAAATTAGAGAAGCTAAGCCCATTTTTTTAACTGATCAACAATTTTACTGAAAAGAGTGGGAGTGGGTGGAAGGGAGAACTGAGCGCAGCCTGCGTCCTCTGTCCCTCCCCCGTCAGGCCTGGTTGTGTGGGCTCAGGTCTGGGGCCCTTGGCATCCCACAGCCTGGGAGAGAGCTGCACCCATTAAAAAAAAATTATTGACTATTATTGTGTTCAAAACCACGCGAGGTGGCTTAATGAGAACTTAGAAATAATGTACTCTACCTGTGTGAGCACTGAATGCACCTCCATTAGTACTATGCAGATTTTAATTATCACCTTATATTCACACGTAGCTTTCCCCCAAACAGTAAAAAGCAGGTTATGTTTGGAATTACCTTGAGTGGTAAAGTTGAAGAGTGCAGGTGTGTCTCGCCCATTTGGTAGTTTGACATTTGGGTCCCGTAATTCATCGAAAAATGAATGTGCACAAGCTTCTAATGGTGTCAATCGGGCAGTTGGTGTATACTCCAGCAGACGACTACACAGCGCGATTGCCTCTGGCGGAGTTCGGGGTCGGAAGACCTGCAGAACGAAAGAGGGGATAGATTAATTAATTTTTTGGTGTCATAACCTTAACAAACCATCATGAATACTGAGTGTATTCCCACCATGTACAAAATCATGGCTGCATTTGAAAGGAACCTTTTAGAATGAAAAGAGTTAACTGCATATGATTCACTGCACTAGGGTGAACTGCTGAAGACTATATAGGAAAAACTAAAATAAAAAACTAGGGAAGTTGGGGGAAAAAACCCCACCCCACATATGCTAATCATAAAGCAGCGGTACAATCAAACATGCACACAGAGTATGATAGGCAGATGAAGAGAGTCTGGATTCTAGAAACAATCACAACTACAATAAAAAATTTAGGGTATTGACTGCAGTGGCCATAAATAAAACATTGCTTCTTTTGTGTGATTAATGCGGAACAATTGCTAATAATGGCACTATTGAAATTTGGCAGTATCTTTTTTAAAAAGAAAAACAGTTTACACTAGGCCTATAAGTGTTAATTATTTGATATTATCTCTTTAATAAAGAGTCTTATTATCTGAAGCCTTGATTATTGAGAAATTGAAAAAATGTCCAGAGTTGTTTCCTCAAATAGTTATTATAATTAAGGCCAGATGATCCTTATTTAAATGAACAACCTACGGTTTTAAACAGAGTAATGTACTTTTCAATCAGTCATTCACTCAAAGTTGTCAATTGACAACTATATTAAAGAAAAATGCAAGTAAGTTAATTTGCCTAAAGAATAGGAAGTTTTCTATTCATCTATGTCTTAAAACCCCCAATCAATACATAAAATAATGAAAACATATTTTCAGTTATGAACAGATACAGAGGAAACATGAAAACAAAAGCCTTTGAAACTTAAGAAAAATGAGACTTATCTTTTGATACAAAGAACACAGAATCAAATAGAAGGTGTAAAAGTTGACAGACACATAAAGAGAAGCAGGCATTATAAAGATATGGCAACAGACCCCACGAGTGAGAAAAGGACAGGCAGATTGTGAGAAGGTACCAAAGAGCCTGGCAGGTTAAGTATTTCCTAATGAGAAAGGCTCATGTCACATCTGGCTATTCACTTAGGTGAAGCAAAAGTAAACATACATATATACATACATATATATATACACACATGCACATATATATGTATATATAGTCACACTACAGAGCTCATTTACATTTTAAGACATTATAAGAGTATTTTCTATAGCAAAAACCATCTTTTTTTTTTGCTTTAGTGTTCACATAAATTTCATTTTTTAGGTGCTGGTGCTCAAACCCAGGGCCTCACACACTCAAGGGAGTACTCTACCACCGAGCCACATATCTCCAGCCCTACAAATTTTATGATTAAAAAGATATTTTACATGTAAACTGAAAGTTAATCTGAGTAGGACTTGAGGAATTTATTTCAGAACACTAAAGATCTCTGGTCAATTTATTCGGCTACTTTTTTTTTAATTTGGCTATGTTTAAAAATAAAAAAAACCTCTCTAAGGTTGGTCAAACACTGCTTTTTTCTTTTAAGGATTTGGCTTTTACCAGTCAGGAAACGTTAAAAGTACTACATTACTTGGAATGCTCAGATCTTCCACTGTTCTTGGCTATTTCCCCTCTGTTGTGTCCTTAGTCAAATTCAAAATGAAAAAGAAAATAACCAGTAGAAAAACTACTTTTCATTAAAATATTAAGCAATACTGAAATATTATCACTGGAATAATCTGCATTTGTGTGACAGAATACAGATTTATTGGTTGGCCTAATAAAAAAACGCTTTTGTGCCAAAATGAAGTACATTAAGTAAAATTAAAAGTACAACCAAAAGGAAGAATAATTATCTCTTATTAGCATTCAATTGTAGAGATGCTGGACAGTAAGCGCACTTTAAATAATTTAAAAAATATTACATTAATGGGATTTTATGATAAAGCTATTAATAAAGCAGCATCACATGCTTACAAAAAAATTATCCACATCTCTCTTTTTTGGTATCTTACTAGATACAAATGATATTCATGTTGGTACTAAGATATACATCAGCCCATTTTTCCAGGGAATCCTAGCTCATGGAATCAGAGTTAAAAACAATAAAGACAAGACTTCAAGAAACCATGTGAAGATCAAGAATTATTATTTTCAACTCTTTGATAGATTCCTGATGAGAAAAATCTTGGAATTTTAGTACTCTGCATAAAGCTTGCATAAAAATTACATAGGGTCAAAACCCAAAGCCTTCCCCTAAGTTCACATTTCTGACCCTAATACAGCAGGGTGTAGTAGCAGACATCTTCCAAAAATTATGTGCCAAACTAGAAAATAGCACCTCTTTGGTTTTAAAAAAAGGAAACCAGTAACATTGAATTTTTTTCTTTAATGGAAAGTTCCTGCTGCTGTCTCATCCCTCATTCTTTTTAATATTGTTTAACACACAGACAATATACCATATGTAAAACCTATACCCTACAGTTAACGAGAGCAAAAAATACAGGTACCTACGCTGTTTTTACTATTATACAACAAGAATGATTAAACTGCTTTGCCTTTCAAAAAAGTTCTCCCCCTAGTTTTATAGACCTGCCCTGAAATTTTGGGAAAAAAAATATAGTACATACCCGCACTCCTGAGGTGAAATGTCCTGTTCCTGACGAATCCTAAAGATGATAATGCAGTGAAATAATCCAAACAGGGGAAGTCAATCCAAAAGAGAATAGTCCAGCAAGGAAAAATATATCCAATGTTATAAGAAATCCATCGTGTGGGGGGGGACATAGAAAATGTTTATACAGTTATAAACTTTAAACATCAGTCTCCACAGTAGCAAGTCCAAGTTTTAAAAATTATTTCACCACAGTGTATGCAAAAAAATTTTTGATTGCGCAATGGTGAGGCACAGTAAAGAAACATTTTAATTTTAGTTTATATGTTCCAATGCCAGTGCATTTATTAAAAAAATACAAAACCAAAAAAAGTGAAAAGCAAAATGAAATCTAGAAGTAAAGTTCCCAAAGTAAAGTGTTTGGTCTTCTATGACCTGGATTTATCATCCATTGACATGGCTTGGAGGGTACATAGTAGCCCACTTTTAAAGATAAGAGATCCCAATATGCTAATTTTTCTCTTAATATATTCCAGTTATACAGTATAAACATTTTTGCTAAATTATTAGTGATGGGAGGAAGTTAATAATTATATTTATTTGTATTACTATAGATTCAAGCCACATATTTTCAATTTATGAGAACTAAGAAGGATCAGGCCACCGCGGATTATTCTCCATTTTGGATTGACTTCCCTGCTAAAAAGATATTTTGCTGACATTCTCATTATCTTAGGACTCTGCAGGAAATTGACAAATCACTTCAGGAGTGCGGGTATAAACTTACTTTTTCTATTGTGGGCTTTGCCCCCTATACCCTTGCACCCACTACGTATGAAAAATATAAAACGTTCTTTTCCCCTTTTTGGAAAAACTCCCTAAAAAATCCTTTATCTGAGCACTACAAATTCAACACGGTTCCATCTTCAAATATGCCCAATTCACCCACCAAAAGCTAAACAAAAATATGCACAATAAGCAATACAACTAAGGGACAGTCACAGTTACAGGTGACATGCATAGCAATATAGTATACCAACACCTAGGCACAACGGAGCCACGTACGCCAGGGAGGTTGCAGGGTCTATTATGTCTAGGTATTGAGAGCAGATATTGGCAGAACTCACCAGTAGCTGTGAATTCCCTTGGCTATTCTAAGAGAATTTTACATTCTTTTAGGATAGTTTCCAGTGGGGGAATTAAATTTTGCAAAAAATAAATAATCCGCGGATTACTTTTAGTCTGCAGACTAAAATTTAGTACACGGATTAAAATCCGGCCCATAAGAATAAAAATCTCTCATGAACTAAAACACAACCAGGTGGACAAAAATAGAAAACCAGACTAAAAAGAACTGAGAGCACAAAGTAAGACTCAAGTGGGCCAACTAACAATTAGTGAGCAGACTAAATATGGCCAGGCAAGTATGCAGCTAGGCCACGAAGAGCCCAAAACACCCCCTGCAAAAACTAGAAACAAAAGTAAACAAAGAAAACAGAACAGAACAAAGCAAAACATAAAAAATAAAAAAGAAAGAAAAGAAAGAAAAGAGGAAAAAAACTGAAAAGAACCAAAACACTGACATGAACTTTTAAGTGATTCGACTACTACCTCACCTGTGCAGCAACTCATTTTCTTAAATTGAAAACAAACTCTCATCACAAATACTAGTCCATAGATGAAACTAACAGAAAAAAGTTACGTTTTTCAAAAAGTCTCTGTGGTATTGAACAAATCCAAATGAGTCCTTAAACTAAGAATTATTAAAAATAAATTTGCATTTGGATAACAACAATGACAGAGGCAATTTTCTCCTTACATATCCTAGAAAAGACTTGGCCATCATGTTTCAAATTTCAACCCAGACCTAGCTGTTAGGACTGAAATTTAAGCCCTTTAAAATAACCATTTATAAACAGTCATACATATATTATCATAGTAAGACCTATGATTGATTCTCACGGCCATCAGCACCCAACAATTCTACTGCATTGAGCAGCTAACTACAGGAATGTAAAAATACTACGGACAATAATAATCTAAGCAAACACAGAACAAGTGCTCTGCCTGCTCTGAACAGGTGCTCTTCTCTCATTTTCACTGTGATAAACGTACAACACAGACACCATGCCCTGATCATACACAAAATATACAAGCACCCAATGTTAAAAATGGATAAATGGATAAACTGTGACTTCTATAGAGCAAACCCAATACTGGCTCTTAGTAATCTATGAATTGTATAAATTATTTATTATTTGTAAAACTAAAACAGGACCGAAAGCGAGACATTCATTATCAGTTTATTAAGTAGTTAATTATGTTAAGAAAAAAATGCAAGTCTAAGTGTACATCTATAACACAATTTATAAGAAAAACAATCCTTTTTTGGCTTTGAAAAAGCACTTAGAAATTTTAGCTGCACTAATTGAAAGGTTTATTGTTTTTTGAGCTCTATTACGCTGCAGTAAAATTTGTCCACCTAATTATCATTTACTGATAAAAAGGCTAATACTGAAATGTGACTTATTAAATGCCCATTTACACAATTTAACTCTCTGTTGTTCTTAAAAGTTACTGTAATCAGGTTATTTTCTTAAGAATACAGAAATATGGGGCCAGGATAGCACTTGCATTGCACGTACGAGGTCCTGGATTTGACCCCTAGCATCACAAAAAAACAGGACAGACTACAGGAATATTTCCTTTCATCCCACACATCTCCTCATTTTAGAGAAACTACCCTGAACTGCAATGACTCCTACTGTATTTACATCTGACCAAATCAAATTCTACTATTAGAGCCCATCCATCCTAATCCTTTATAATCTTTAAATCAGCTTCCGACATTTCCCTCTACCACTTTCACCAGTACCTATTCATAATATCTACACATCTCAGAAAATCCAGATCACACAATCAGTATGTTGTTCAACACTTCCTTTAAAAGAGTCAGCTACGTCACCAGCTTTCTGCAAGAGCAAAAAATACACATTTCACTTCTTTTGTATTCTTTCTGGTACTCAGCACAATACCAGTTACATAGAGAAATCGACTTTAAAAAAATAGATAATAAATTAAAAAAAGAAAAAAAGAAAAGACTTTTGCCTTCTTTTCAATCCATCCAGCCCTGTCTCCTATCTCCCACAAAGTTATCTGGAAATTTAAATCTATTTTTCTTTTTAATATTATACCCCTCTCATATGCATTAACCACCCCAATAGCATGATTATAATGTGCAGTTTGCAGCAAAAAAAGGGGAGAATATAGACATTATAAATAAAAAAATGAGAAAGCCAACTCATGTAGGAAAATGGATATTAGAAAGTACGTGATTATTTTAGCACTAATCAAATGCTAGGCAGAAAAATCATAAATAACACAGTATATGAATGAAACAAATGATAACAGACTAAAATAATGTTCATGGCAGAGTAAGTAATAATGTAGGAACTGGTTCACCTAAGCAATAGAACAGATGACAAGTGACAATTTCAGAATCCGAAAAAAATCCCCAACATATTCTTATGCTTTCTGGAATACATGTGAACAAAATTAGTAAGGAAGAGCTGAGAAAAAGTAGTAGGAGAGTGACCCTGCATAAAAAGTTTGATAGCAATTTCTATTTTGTGTTAGCTAGACACTCTGAAGGCATTTTTAGTTACGTGTTAAATTACAGTTCAAAGAGGCTAAGTTTATTACATTTTGGAAAAAACAAAAACAAAAACAAAACAAAACAAAAAATAGTATCGAGGACTTACGGAAAAAGACGCATGATTTTGGAGAAAATGGTAACAAAAAAGTTCAGCAGTTTTTTAAAATTTATCTTTAATCACAGAGGATAATAATCAAAACTTGTTTCATCTAGTCTGATGACTGATATAACCTCAGAATTTTAATTATAGTTTTGTTAGCTGGAAATATTAATTTACTTTGAAGCATGTGAACTGCATTCAAGAAGTCTGTGAGGATTAATTTTTGTCAATACTTTCTGTAATATTTAGCCAATGACCTATAGTCTCATATATTCTACTGATATATCCTATATGTAACTATTAAGTAACGATCATATAGGACAAAAACTGATAAACACATTCTGAGGTAACTGATATCCATTTATTACCATTGTAAAAGAAAAGTTAGAAGCAGCTATATTATTCATCATATGACTTGAATTATATGATAGAAATAATCATGGAGAACCCAGATAAATTAAAAAATATTTCATGGGAGAAATGAGGTCTTAAGAAAAAGCTAACGAAAGGAGAGAGAGAACAGAGGGGAATGCCCTGTCACAGAGGCAGGGTGGGACGGGGTAGGGGTGTGGGGTGTGGGAAGTATACTGGGATCCGTGGTGGTGGGAAATGGGCATTGGTGGAGGGATAGGTATTTGAGCATTGTGTAATTGAAACCCAAGCACAAAATTTGTAAGTCTACAACTGTACCTCATGGTGTCTCACTAATAAAAATTTAAAAAAAAAAGAAAAAAAGAAAAAGCTGAAGACTTACTAATCAGAATAGCAGCATTCTAAATGAGAGAAAGGGGGAGACAGCAGAGGAGGAAATGGGTATGACTTCTCTGGCCGGTAATTAGGAAAGCAGTTTGATTATATAGAATTATTCAGCATGACTGTATGGCCCCTTCAAAATGAGCTACAAATAGGGCAACACTCAAATATGTAGGTACGAAATTAAACAGTTCAGGATCCAGGGGATTTTAATCTCTATTTCACTATCCAATTATATCACTTTGAATTTCATTACTCTGAAAGAATATACATGTGTAAATTGACCTCAGGACCGAAAGCACAGTGGTAGGGCATTTGCCTTACAAGCGGCCAACATGGCCGACCCGAGTTCGATTCCTCCGCCCCTCTCGGAGAGCCCGGCAAGCTACCGAGAGTATTCGATATGCCAGACACAGTAACAACAAAGTCTCCAATGGAGACGTTACTGGGCCCGCTCGAGCAAATCGACGAACAACGGGAGGGCCTTTACCTTTTAACTATAAATTCTCTGCCTATATGCATTTGAGGATGAAAGAGCTAGGGAGATTCAGAAAGTGAGTTCTATGGACTGGATGTCTCAGGAAAGGGTTAGAAACAGGATAAGAACTAAAATTTCAATTTTCTGGAAAGGAAAAGTAGAGGCAATTAGGAAAGAATGTCTACAATCTATCACACAAATAGGATAGGGATACTTTTGAGGTGAAGGAATGCAATCAATAATTTCACGGGCCTATGATCAATCTTGTTACATTATTTCAAATTTCCTAAAGCAAGAAGAATTAGAGTAATTTTAAATAGGAGTGACAGTATCACACATGCTTTGAAGAAAGGTAACTGGCAGCAATGAGGATGTAAACTGAAAGACAGAAACCAGGAGGTAGGAGGTTGTTTTAACAATTTTATGATATGTGATAGCCTAAAGTAAACTGGCAGTAAAGAAAAACTGCAGAACTATAACAGAATATTTGCAATTACTCAGAACTAAAATGAAAGAAGCCTTTTACTGCATATCTTGCGTGTATTTTCAAAAGAACCCAGAAAAAAGACACAGGCTCTTACCTTACCAAACCAAGTCCAATCCTCAGGCACAGAGAGCAGTTGTGCTCAAATTAGACCCTTACTTGATTTCTAGTAGATATTGTTTGATATACTTTCATGTATATCATGTTCTAATACTTTCATACACTAAACGAAGAACTTCAACGTTCTTCTCCCAACCTACAATTTCTAATCTGCAAATTCCCAGTCTACTTTTGAATCATTTCCTTTCGCTTCCCAGGAATTGTTACCCGTCTCGACTTTTCTGAAGTGGGTGGGGGATGGGTGTGCTCTCAGTGAAATCCTGGGGTGCTTTAGGGGCCATGAAAGCAAAGCCAGGTCCTTGCACACACAAACTATGTATGCCAGTCCCCGGAACTATCTCCCTCATCTGTCTTTTATACTTTAAGTATAAACTCAAACAGGTTTTTATCATTTCCATTCCCACTTAAAATAAAGATTCTTACTTTAAAACATTAGCATCTATTTTCTTCCCTATTTAAACCAAAAGTCAACAAATTATACTGCTCCAGCTAGATAACAGGAGGGCCACTTGGTGGATTTTTATATCATCAAGAATCCTGCCGTACATCTTTTTTTTTTTCTTTTCGCTTTTTGGGTCACACCTGGTGATGCACAGGGGTTACTCCTGGTTCATGAACTCAGGAATCACTCCTGGCGGTGCTCAGGGGGGCCACATGGGATGCTGGGAACTGAATCTGGGTCGGCCGCGCGCAAAGCAAACGCCCTACTCGCTGTGCTATTGGTCCAGTCCCCCTGCTGTACATTTTACTGATTTCACAAACTATGTATGCCAGTCCCCTGAGCTATCTCCTTCATCTGTCTTTTATACTTTTAAGTATAAACTCAAACAGGTATCTTTATTGTTCCCAGTCCCACTTGAAAAAGATTCCTACTTTAAAACATAAGCATCTATTTTCTTCCCTATTTAAACCAAAAGTCAACAAATTATACTGCTCCAGCTATTAGATAATAGGAGGACCACTTAGTGAATTTTTATATCATCGAGATCCTGCTGTACATCTTACTGGTTTCATCCCACTGTTTTATTTTTGTTTGCTATTTTTTCCTTTACAACTTAATCCCTTTACCTTAATGTTTTCATGAAAAACATATTTTTGTCTCAATCTTTACAATGACTGCCTATCGTCTTGAAAAGGCCAGCATTCAATTAGAGGGATACAGCTATGCTACAAACACTGCAGTGCTGAAGATGGGAAGCTTAGCATACCTACAGCTTCAGGACATGGGATGTCAGAGAAGAAGACAATAAAAAAGGAAAAAGGGCTTTTGTTTCAGGATCCTTGTTTACCTCCCAAGATAAGCATGCTTTTTAAAAAACACAATATTGGCTGTCAAACATAAAGGAATATTTTGCAAATAGCTATGCACTATCATAATGAGGAAAAGGAGACAAAATTCCCCTAGCAATGTAAATAGTAGCATTTTCCCGATAATATCTTAGGTGAGTACAATAAGGAGAAACTAACATAATATACTTATTACACAACCAACACATACAAAATATGTGTACGCACACTATATGAACTAAGAGTTCAAAGTTTTAATAGACAAAACTGGTATGAGAACTGAGTCATTCACATAGTACTAGAATGAAAAGCTAGATAAAACAAATGAAAAGGATTTATATAGATTATTCAAATCTGAAAAGCATTCGTGTAAGATATAGAGAAACACTGGAATCTTAGAGGACAAAGGAAATTTTAAGACACAAATTCATTATAAACGGTCAATCAGTCATATTTTAATCTATTCCTTAGGTTCCATCCTGTTTAATACTTGAACTGAAGAGGGAAAATCGAAGTGAGGGAAAGGGCAAATATGACAACACATTTTTACTAGTGACTGTCTTGAAAGACAGAGAGAGAGAGAGAGAGAGGAGAGAAAACAAACAATTTTATGACCTCAATTTCAATTTTATGTTGGTCATAAAGTTCATATCAACAGTTAATACTAGGATGACAAACAGTGAGGTTAGACTACAACAAAAAGCTTTATTTATTTTTAAAAAAACATGATTACTAAAGAAAATATGGAATATGAAAATGCAGAACCAAGAAAACAAAATCACCAACACTCTTCTCATCTATATTATTTGTCAGCAGTGTGAAATATATTTTTATGTCTTGATTTAATATACAGAATTCTTTGTTATTCTTTAACATGACAGAAATCATGGTACACAACAAATCATTTGTTATAAACACCTAAACTTGAATAAACTTTGGAAAATTTTATCCAGTCTCTAAATCCTTGTAAGTCATCCAACAATTCTTTGAATTTAAAAATGTGATGCGTATTTTTTTTAAATACTAAGGTTATTAAACACTTTTTGACCCAGATTCAAAATGAAATTGAAGTGAAAAAAAATCAAGAAGTAGTACTTTAGACTATTCCGAGTTATTACAAAATTTAAAGGAGAGGGTAATATTTTGTTTTCTTGGTTCTACATCTTAAAACCCTGGTACTAAAATCTGACATTGTCTGACTCTAATAAATGATTAGTAAAAAGAGAACTGTAGTAAGAGTTACAACTTGAAGAAAAGTAACTAAAATCACAATAAGATCGAGAGAGAAGTCAAGAGAGAAAGAGAATTGCTCTGACTCTAAAAATGTTATTTTATCTGTAGTCATAAATTACTTTTCCTCTTAATATCCAAGATCTACAACCAATTATACAAACTATTAAAAAGTTAGATCACATTTTTAAATACAGAAAATTTTACTTCAAATGTACATTAAAAAGAGTATTCCTAACTCACAAAAATGTATAATGAAATGCAAGCATATGGCGAGAAAGGTACATGGCAAGTAACTAGAAATTCAAAAGAGCTGTAGCAGCTAGAAATATATATTCTAAGTTATTAATCTTATTAACAGTTGACTTTCTTCCTTTCTACACTCTTAATTTCACAAAATTTAACTAGATTAAAAGAAATAAACCCTTTTAATTAAATCTCTTAAAATCATTTCAAAATCACATCAAAAGAAAACAAGTGTTCCTGAAAATAAGTAAATATAGGTCTTAAAACATTGAGATGAAGAGTTTGCAACTGCTAACAACATCTTATTAATATATAAAATGCCGTCAATATATACTGCTAATAAGATTATATCTACTTCTGTTCCTGCTTCCAAATCAAAAATAGGAAAACCTACAAATGAAGAAAAAATAAATCACAAAATAACATCTATAAAAATATCTATACATTTCAAGTTAAAATAAAAATATATGCAAACTATTTTCACATATATATGCAGTAAAGTAACATTTTAATGTTTAAAAAGTTGCTTTCTGAATTTTTAGTCAAATTTATATATAAGATCCTATTTCTAAAGAAATTCTTCACTTCACAGTGATAGAAGTATACTTGTCTCTTCTACATAAAAGAAAATAACCTAGCTGATTATAGGAAATCAAGAGAAATAAACTACTGCAGTCAAGAAACACTGACGTACTACTTGTCTTTTCATATAGAACTACTCTGTACCTTGTACTCAGGCAGTTATCTAGTTTCAAAATAGTTTAAGAATAATGAGAAAGATCAAGTTAATTGATAATATGCTTTATTAAAAAACCTCTTATGACTCACCTTAGTCCAAGGATGTGCCTTAATTTGAGGAAACTTAAATTCTGTGTAGTTTGGGTTCATTTCTCTAATTTGTTCCCTGGTTGGTGTTCCCAGGACCTAAGGGGGAAATGCAAGTTATTGTTGCAATTTTCTGTACACTCAAATTATATTCAATGTTTTCATGTACTAGTTTCATAGAAAAAATATATTACAGTTAAAAAATATGTAATTTGTTAAACAGAACAGATTTTGAAAATACTTTTAACTTATATTTTACTATAGATTGCAAGCTCTTATACTTTTATAATGCTATATCAGAACTGTAAAGAGATTAATAAAAACAAACATTTTCATTCTATGGTAAGATGCAAAGACTACATCTGAAATGAGACCATCTTTTATTTTACTTGGCAATGTTCAGATAAATACTTTATTATCAATAAACCAGTGAGAAGAATCTTCCTCAAATGAAGTCATTAATAATTCCATTTCATCACTGAATATTTTATTGTCTTCTGTTTTCAACAGATGGGAGATTCAAATAATAAGGGTTCCTGTTATCATGAGTTTACATATTTGTGTGCAGAAAAAGGAACAACTACAACATAAGATAACAACAACATATTGAGTAGTAATGGTCACCAGGGTGAAGCAGGATTGGATGGATGAGCTCGCACTGCTGGGAGATGACTGCAGCTACAAGAACTCACTGCAGGATCAGTTCACTAAGATCAACACCAATGACCAGGTGAAAAGTGCCAAGAGGAATGTGCTATGGCTGAACATCAGAGAAAGCACAGCACTTGCCTTGTATGTGGCCAACTCAATTTGATCCCTGCCAACCCCAAATGGTCACCTGAGCCTGTTAGGTGATCCCTGAACTCAGAGCCAGGAGTAAGCAGAGTCAGGGGGGCACCGCTGAATGTGGCCCCCAAGCCTAAATAAATAACTCCTTTTAAAAAGAAAGAAAAGGGGTATTTCTTCCTGCAAGTCAGTAATTCCCCGGCTATTCTGGGTACCCTGTGCCCTGCTCATTCAAGCCCTGGTCACGCAAAGCCGAGGGTCAGGGCCCTGCCTGGAACCCCACCCCAGGAGTTGCTGTTCTTCCTTGCACAGCTCTAACAGAGAACCAAGAGAGCAAAGACTCACCCACCCAGACTGCAACAAGCACTATGGGAAACCTGTGTATAACTCCACCTTAATGAGCAAAGACAGCAGCCCTGAAGATTCAACCAGAAACACCAGCTATATAAACTCTCAATGAGGGCTTTAGAGAGGAAATGTTGAGCATGCTCAACGAACTCAAAGAAACAATGGCACAGACAGCAAATAAAACACAAGAAAAATGAGAACACTACAGTCAGAAATGACAGAACTAAAGAATTTGGCAGTGATATGAAAAACTCAATGGAAGACTAGAGGCAACTTTAAGGAGTTAATGCCATTGGCCAAGCAAACAGAAACAAAGATAAACATATGGGATTAGGTTAAATTAAGAAACTTCTACACATCAAAGTAAGCAGGAACAAAATACAAAGACACCCCACAGACTGGGTGAAAATATCTGCTCTCACTTATCTGATAAAGGGTTAATATCCAAGTATACAAAAGCCCAAAAGACTTGTTTGGCATTATTAATAATCAGGGAAATGGAAAATCAAAATAGCAGTGAGATATGCCTCACACCAGAAGGACTGGCAAACATAAAAAAGAACAAAAATAACCAGTGCAGGGGAAAAGGGACCCTCATTCACTTCTGGTGGGAATATGACTAGTCCAGTGTTTCTGGACATTCCTTAAAAATCTAGGAATTGATTTTACATTTGACCTAGCAATTCCACTTCTTGGCATCTACCCCCAGGGACCAAAAGCACAACAGAGAAAAGACATTTGCACCCCTATATTCTTGCAGCAATTATCCACAATAGTTAATATCTAGAATAACCCAAGTATCCAAGAACAGATGACTGGTTAAAGAAATCTATGGTATGCATACACAATGGAATATTACTCGACCATAAAAAAGATGAAGTAATACAATTTGCTGCTATGTGGATGGATCTAAAGAGTACCATGCTGGGAGACAGAACAAAATAGAGAGAATGAGACAGAACGACAGAACAAGACAGAGATAGGACAACATAGAATGACCTCTCTTATATGTGGGATATAATGAAACATAATACTGGAATAATAAATGCCCAAAGCTAACAGAAACAAGGAACCTGAGAACTGGTCTTCAATAGAAAGCATGCCACTTGGGGGTTGGGGTGGGAGTGGTAATTGGACAGGGAAGGTACAATGAAAGGAGGGAAATGTTGAACCAGGAGGGAGAGAGGAGGATGAAAGGCAGTCAGTTGTTATACATGAAACTCTATTGCCAAAGTATTGTAAACTAGTGTCAAAAGTTATTTTTCAAAAGGTGCCTCTCAGAGAGGAAGGCAGGAGGGGCTTGCCTTGGGTGCAGTCAACCAAGGTTCAATTCCTGGCATCCCACATAGTCCACTGAGTCCCCCAGGCGTGGTCGTTGAGTGCAGAACCAGAAGGAAGCCCTGAGCACTGCCAAGTGTGCCCAAAAACAAAAAAATGAAGAAATGAAAAGGGAAGGAAAGAAAAGGACTGAACAGCTGAGTTCTCATAAAAGTAAAAAAAAAAAACTCAATCTTTCTGAAAAACGAAAGAGAAAAGGTTGGAAACCAAGAGATTCCGTATTCAGTGAGAATATCCTTCAAAATCCCCAAACAAAAGCTAGATGAGTTTGTCACCAGATTTTCATTACAAAAAAGTCCTTCAGGGCTGGAGAATCATCAGGGCTAGAGAGTTGGTAGGATAACTGCTTGCAAACAGTCCACAGGGATCTGACCCCTGAGCACTTCTGGTTGTGGCCCCCAAATAAAGAATTCCAAAAGCACTTCTTATCTAGCACAAAAAAGTACTTCTTACCTAACATAAAAGATGTTAGTGGTAGAAAATGGTATGCTCATTTTATAAATTTGCTCGAGCGGGCCCAGTAACGTCTCCATTTTGAGACTTGCTGCTACTGTGTTAGGCATGTTGAATACAGGCGGGTGAGATACTCTCGGTAGCTTGCCGGGCTCTCCGCGAGGGACAGAGGAATTGAACCTGGCTCGGCCGGGCCAGCTGCGCGCAAGGCAAACGCCCTGCCACTGTGCTATCGCTCCTAAAAACAAATCTTAGAATTCTTTAGATTTTAAGATAAAAGCATTTCCTCCCTCCAAACTTACACTAAAGAGGGGTACTTTGTGTGTGTGTGTGTGTGTGTGTGTGTGTGTGTGTGTGATGCACGTGCATGCGCACGGGTGGGGGGGTGCTGTCCCCCACCCCCCTGGTGGCACTCAGGGCTTCCTCCTGGCTCTGCATGCAAAGATCACTCCTGGCAGGGCTCGGAGAACCACTGGGATGCCAGGGATTAAACCCGGGTTGACCACTGTATGTGAGGCAAGTGTCCCACTAACTCTTTGGAACCGAGAGAGAACATCCGTAAAATGTTTGTTTCTGGATTTTGTTTACTTTCTGTAACTTACTGTAAATGAAACAGAAATGGAAAGGAAACAGAATCTAAATGTTTATGTACCCTATAAGTAAGATATGTTACCTGTATCTAATGAAAAGGGGGGGTGTTAAAAATTGAGAAGAGGGCTGGAGCAACAGCACAGCGGGTGGGGCGTTTGCCCAGCAGGCCGCCAACCCGGGTTCGATTCCCAGCATCCCATATGGTCCCCTGAGCACTGCCAGGGGTGATTCCTGAATGCAGAGCCAGGAGTAAACCCTGTGCATCGCTGGGTGTGACCCAAAACACACACACACAAAAAAATAAAATAAAAATAAATAAAATTGAGAAGAGAGAGTATTCTCTGATCTCTATTCTTAGTACAAGAGCTTTCTGCTTTCTTCGCCCAAACATTTGATCTTTTGGTATGCGATCATAGAATACAGGTGGAGTGGCAGTGGAAAAATATAAAGAATCAAAGTTCAGGCTGCCATGCCTCCCAAAGATGCTATTCACATCCTGTGATAAAGTCATTCATTTCATTTGTGCCAGGCCTCAACCACATTTGCTGTAACTTTTTTTTCACTAAATTATGTGAAGTTATAAGGCACTGATACACATCAAAACATAAATTAGTATGAGGGGAGGAAGAGAAAAAGTAATCAAGAATAATCTTTAAAATATAACTATTTCCTCCGTCTTTTTGGCTTTTTAACGGCTTAACACTAGAGGTCGCCAAACATCAGACATAGAGTTGCAGTATGCAGTTTTTAAAGCAAGACTGAAATAAAACAAATCCCATTAGAAACGTTACTTCTCTGTTTAAAACCGTACAGTAATTTACACTACCTGCACTATAGACTAATGAATATGTATTATGCCCACAGATCTGGCTTTGTCTCTTCCTGTAAAAACGTTCAGAATCTAAAGGTCAAACCAAAAGGAACAGAATAAGCCCAAATTTCCTAAGCATCATTGCCCTTCTTTTGAAATTTTCCTTTTCAAGTTTCAAGGTTCAGCTTCTCCTATGAAACCCTTTCCAGATAGTACCATCTCCAAAGAGACCATTTCTGCTTTTTACTCTGCTCAGAATTCTGGAATAACACTATTGTTTCTTTCATTCTCTCTGTCAGTAACTTGAAGGCAAGTACTTCTATGTTCTATCTTGCCTAATATCCAACCAAACCTGTGCTCACTAAATATATTTTAAGAAGTATGTAAACTGAAAGATGACCCAACATATATAATGAAAGAATTCTGTGAAAGTTTTAAAAACAAGAAAAAACTTAAAGTAAAATAGACAAAAAAAATGTATACCATACAGTAAGAAACATGTTGCATGGTTGAATAACCATCTTCATTCTTTTTCTGGCACAAAATAACTATTTATTCAATATGGTCAACTATCGGGCTGGAGCGATAGCACAGCAGCAGGGTGTTTGCCTTGCAAGTGGCTGACCCGGCTGAGCTGGGTTCGATTCCTCCGCCCCTTTCAGAGAGCCCAGCAAGCTACCGAGAATATCTTGCCCACAAGGCAAAGCCTGGCAAGCTACCCGTGACGTATTCAATATGCCAAACACAGTAACAACAAGTCTCACAATGGAGA